AGAACCCACGACCTCCTGCATACCAGGCATAGCAGTTAACATATCAACATAGAACCCACGACCTCCTATATACCAGGCGAGGCAGTTAACATCTCAACATCGAACCCACGACCTCCTGTTCACCAGGCGAGGCAGTTAACATCTCAACATTGAACCCACGACCTCCTGGATACCAGGCATAGCAGTTAACTTATCAACATAGAACCCACGACCTCCTGTATACCAGGCGAGGTAGTTAACATCTCAACATAGAACCCACGACCTCCTGCACACCAGGCATAGCAGTTAACATATCAACATAGAACCCACGACCTCCTGTATACCAGGCGAGGCAGTTAACATCTCAATATAGAACCCACGACCTCCTGTATACCAAGCGAGGCAGTTAACATCTCAACATAGAACCCACGACCTCCTGCATACCAGGCGAGGCAGTTAACATCTCAACATAGAACCCACGACCTCCTGCGTACCAGGCGAGGCAGTTAACATCTCAACATAGAACCCACGACCTCCTGCGTACCAGGCGAGGCAGTTAACATCTCAACATAGAACCCACGACCTCCTGCATACCAGGCATAGCAGTTAACATATCAACATAGAACCCACGACCTCCTATATACCAGGCGAGGCAGTTAACATCTCAACATCGAACCCACGACCTCCTGTTCACCAGGTGAGGCAGTTAACATCTCAACATTGAACCCACGACCTCCTGGATACCAGGCATAGCAGTTAACTTATCAACATAGAACCCACGACCTCCTGCGTACCAGGCGAGGCAGTTAACATCTCAACATAGAACCCACGACCTCCTGCATACCAGGCATAGCAGTTAACATATCAACATAGAACCCACGACCTCCTATATACCAGGCGAGGCAGTTAACATCTCAACATCGAACCCACGACCTCCTGTTCACCAGGCGAGGCAGTTAACATCTCAACATTGAACCCACGACCTCCTGGATACCAGGCATAGCAGTTAACTTATCAACATAGAACCCACGACCTCCTGTATACCAGGCGAGGTAGTTAACATCTCAACATAGAACCCACGACCTCCTGCACACCAGGCATAGCAGTTAACATATCAACATAGAACCCACGACCTCCTGTATACCAGGCGAGGCAGTTAACATCTCAATATAGAACCCACGACCTCCTGTATACCAAGCGAGGCAGTTAACATCTCAACATAGAACCCACGACCTCCTGCATACCAGGCGAGGCAGTTAACATCTCAACATAGAACCCACGACCTCCTGTATACCAGGCGAGGCAGTTAACATCTCAACATAGAACCCACGACCTCCTGCGTACCAGGCGAGGCAGTTAACATCTCAACATAGAACCCACGACCTCCTGCATACCAGGCATAGCAGTTAACATATCAACATAGAACCCACGACCTCCTGTATACCAGGCGAGGCAGTTAACATCTCAACATCGAACCCACGACCTCCTGTTCACCAGGCGAGGCAGTTAACATCTCAATATAGAACCCACGAACTCCTGTTCACCAGGCGAGGCAGTTAACATCTCATTATCGAACCCACGACCTCCTGTTCACCAGGCGAGGCTCCTCCCCACGCTGGCAGGATGTGCGTGGGAAGCGGTGGGAATCACCGCGCGTCCCGCCTCTGCTGCGGCAGGGAGATCGAACCGGTTACCGCCGGATTGCAAGTCCATTGCGTCAATCATCCGTTTGAAATTCATAGCCTAGATCTACATGTAAATGACAAAATAAACTCCCACTATACACAACCTGTACATGCAGACTATGTAGAATATTGTACTTTTGTTCATAGACTTGAATATTGTTTGTGTGAGTAGAGTACTCCATCTATTTACTGTGTGTGGAATTATACAGCCCTATGTCAATCCACTGCTGGATAAGGGCCTCATTAAGTGCAGGGCGTGGGGTTTGTTTGACCATACTTCACCACGCTGGTCAACGCGGCTTGGTGAAGGGTGTGTGCCATATCCTGCATTTCTTAGGGATACAAGTCGAGTACTGGACTGACTTTCTGGGATTGCCGCGATATGATGATAACAGTACTACGCTATATGGTACGGTATGTATAAGGTCTTTCATAGGTTTGCCAAAATATCATCGCCGCGCTATTTTCTCATGCTTTATCTCCTGGAAATATATTTTAAAAATAACAAATAAATAATAACTAGGGTTCTAATGATATGATTTACACACGGCAGGCGTATGCTTAGTGAACTACAGATGACATTGTAATAAATCTGAATTCGTGCTCGAGGTAGAACAAAGCACACGGGATACAATAAACTCGTGCAATACAAAACCGACGTTATGGAAACCTACCGCGATTATCGCCATATCGTGAAAATCAATATCGTGTCGTGATCAATGATTTCGTTGCAACCCGACTCACGACTGCGATGCTTGCAGCCCTGAAAAAGCGGAGCGGTGGCGCAGTGGCTGGCGCATTGAGTGACAAACACGGAGGCCAACCCGAGTTCGAATCCGGGCAACGGCTAACATCAGTGGCGAGTGGCATTTAAACCCCCGCTTCATTAAGCCGCAATGATTCTAGTCACACAACCCCACAATTACGAACTTAGCGTGCTAGGGAGGCTTTGCTCTACCAGTGGATAGAGAATGGACAGTCGGAAACCCTGTAGCGTCACCGTACATGAAGGCGGGGAGGAGTCCATGGGTGCCGCGGTCTCGAGATGTTAACCACCTCGCCTGGTGTACAGGATGTCGTGGGTTCGATCCCGACGTTTGTTGTTTATTTGGAGTTAGCATGTCTTTCTCCCCGTGATCGCGTGGATTTTTCTCCAGCTCCTCCGGGTCTTCCCCTCCACATTTAGAATCAACATCACGCGTTTAGAGTGTTTGGCTGCTACACATTTCACACACAAGCGCCATCGTTTGTGGCCAGGTCGCTTATGGCCACTGGACATCTCTGTATCGACTGAACGTCTGTGAAAAAGAGCTTCATAGCTCATCGAATTTGTTCAGAATAAATAAGGAATCTGGTTCTGAGTGGGGGAATCCAAACGGTGATTGTTCTATGATAATAGACTCGCTCCACACTGCAGGAAAGTGGGAATTTCCACAACTGTGCTCAGGACTCTAAACCGGATCTGACCACCGCCTCAATGCCAATTTTGTACGGTATATTTTTTGACATATTTTTATTTTACTAGGTAAGGCCCACTATAAGACTATTATTCAGAAGCGACCTGGCCACAAATGATAGTTCAACGTAAAGGCTTATCACGTGGAGATGTAAAGTAGCTAAATACTATAAACTCGTGTTTCTAAATGGAGCTGGAAAAACCGGAGGACCCGGAAAAACCTCCACGTGACCACAGGGAGAGAGACGCGCAAATTCCAAATACACAGTAGGTGTCAGGGTCGGGATGGAACCTACAACCTCCTGCCTTCCAGGCGAGGTAGTCGACATCTCGTTACCGCGGTGCCCAATGTTTGATTCTTTACAGAGGGTGGTCCAAAAGTTAGGAAACATGGTTTTATATTAATTTTAACATATCACATCGGGTTATTTCACTTATTTTGACAAATGTTCAAACTGTCTGGTATTGACATGTATGCATGCAAAAAAATAATATTTCGCAATGAATTTAGGACTTTTTAAAGAAGGCAGGTGTAATCGTTGAACATTCATAGATTATGTTTCGTCTCGATCCATTCACGCATCTTGGTCGAGTTTTTTCGTAAACAACGAATTTGAGGTGACCCCTCCGAAAGTGGACAGTAATAATGATAATAGATAACATTTTAACTTAAAGAATAAACAATTAAAATGTTTTAATGCCAGTGGTAAAATAAATGAAACGACCCTATGTATCCTGACGTCTGGGCCACGTTGTACCTGTTTGAAGTTCCAGGGGCAGACCATGTACACGTACCAAATACAAAGACAACAAACACCCCCGTATAGCCTTGACAGACTGCTGGGGCAAGTGCTGTTCGCGAGTAGCGCCTATAAAGATGGACAACGACACACGAGGTGGGGGCGAGTAGCCAACACCACGCCCGGCCGCCTTTGTCTCCCGAGTGGCGATGTTTACACATCGCACCGGGTAATCATTTGAGGCCGAGTCGACCTAGAGGAGGCCCAGTACCGGTTCAGATAATCGCCACTGGTTGTTGTTGTTGTTCAGAGACCCACGCGCGCTACGACCACTGCGCTACCGCTCCCCCACACAGCACGCGACCGCCGCAGCTCGGCGGCGTGGGTCTCTGAACAACTCCGTCGCGTGATCGCCCGCGGCGCTCGGATGTGCCATCGTTTCGTCTGATTTGCATGTCGATGCCACACCGGCTATTAGTGCGGGCTCACACGCGCACGCAATAAACTACTCGGTAGCCGCCACGAACGCGTGGCATGGGACTAGCAGCATGCATCATTGGGGTCAATGTTCTGAAATGAACAACACAAGGTTAACGTAATTAGGTCGACTCGGCCTCAAATGAGTGCACGACGTGGCGTGTCAACATCACCACTGGGTAGACAAAGGCGGCCGGGCGAGATTCCGGCCACCCATCCCCCGAGCTGTCGTGCCGCGCCGCCCTTCATTCTGTGGCTCGCGAGTCGCGGCTCGCGTCCTCGGCCTGCGAACGGCGACATGGGGGAGGGCTCTGTCGTCACGTGCCACCTTGTGCGAGTTGGCGGCACGGTGGCAATTCTCAATGGATTGAGCCACAACTCCGTGGCTCTGGTCCGTGATATCCTGCCAGCGAGTCTCCGAATCGCATAACTCCCTCTGGCACCTCCTTTGGCGTGCTTATGAAATAAGGCTCGTCACCCGAAACGTTTCCGACTGTTTTCCCCCCACCCCTCCCTTTTTAAAGCCACAGGTGTATCGACGGATGTGGCGGTTTTCGTCAAATCAAGGATTTGTCTTCTTCTCAGCGGGGGAGGGGGTGGCTGGTGTCTCGCGTTACACATCTGGGGAATTCCTTCAAGCGAGCATCAGTGACGTCAACTTTATTTATTTCACTGCGCCTGACGGGGGAGGGGGCTGGGCGAGCAAACAACGCAGGTCGGAGCCGTAACTTCTATTGTGAGTTCGCTGTATATATAACGACGCAGCCCGTAGTCGTGACTTCTACTGTGAGTGCGCTGTATATATAACGACGCAGCCCGGGCGCAAGGCACAACAAACGTTCGCTGCTCAACACCACCGAGGAATCCACGCACTCAAACAAAAGCCACCACCACCACCATCATCAACCACCAGCTCGGGCAGTATCTCCGGAGCGAATTGATTCGCTTCAACCTCTGCAGGCCACCGTCTATTCGCCGAGTCGCATCTTCGTCACCAGGTGAGTTACGCGGATTTACCTGCAGGCTGTCGAGCACCACAGGCTTGCTAATCGTGTAATATGGACTGGTCGACGTTCACAGAGAAGGCTGGTTGAAGGTGACATAAAGACTGGTTATTGTTGACATACAGATTGGTTATTAATAACAGATACTAGTTATTACTAACAGATTGTTATTATTCGAATACAAACTGCAGCATTGTGTGTGTGTGTTCACAATGGGGAGCGGTGGCGCAAGGCTTGTGTACACTGCTTTGTGAACAAGGACCCCACGGTAGATTTCCGACCATGGCTAACATCAGTGGCGAGAGATGTCGGAACAGTCGCCTCCCCCTAGGTCGACTCAGCCTTAAATTAAACAAATGCGCACAGCCCTCTTTGCGTGCCATTTCGACCTTAATAGATGCTCGCTAACTTCACTTGCCCCATCAGTCTGCAAAGGGCTTATAGTCTCTGTTAATGCTGTACCAGGCGTTTTCGCCTTTTGGCATCCTCTGGTCTAACCGAAAGAAAGCTGTCTCTGGTGTGGACCAATCAGTTTCAAAGACAATGCAAATACTATCAGAGTGTTTTTTTGTTTGCATTCTGACCACAAGTATTGTGGTTAATACAGACATGATTCCATGTAAAAGGTTTCAGTTTGGTGGTTTAATATCTCAACACCTGTTTTGTTGCCAGAAAAAGGAGACAACTTATTCTCATATTTTGTTCCTGGCAAAGGAGGTCCCATGATGTAACAAGAAGATACTTTTTGTTTCGAATTTGGTAACAAACACAAAAAAAACCCCTCGCTATTTCAAGAGCCGCAATGCCACGTGAATACGAGAGACGGCGGTTCCTAGATGGGCAACGCCACGAAGCAGCCCTTGACGAGCCGCACGCGGCTCCGGAGCCGCGGGTCGCCCACCCCAGGGAGGGTTGGCGAAGAGGCCTCGCTCCGAGCCGACACGGCCCACGTCCCGCCTTCACCACCCCCGTCCCCGATCCGTGTCCCGCTCCGCCCCCGCAGGGCCATGAGCGCTGTGCTCCCGCGGGGCGAGGACGACGTCCCCGACGGTCTGGGCGGCCGCCAGGTGTACACGCGCATCCGTGCCGACTGCCTGCGTCTGCGCCGCCTCTTCACGGACGATCTCTTCCCGCCCGAGGCGACGTCTCTGGGCTACGCCGAGCTCGGGGCCGGCTCCAAGCTCGCGCGCGCCGTCGTCTGGAGGAGGCCGCACGTGAGTGGCCACGCGCCTGTACACGCACGTGTACACGCACGTGTACACGCACGTGTACACGCACGTGTACACGCACGTGTACACGCACGTGTACACGCACGTGTACACGCACGTGTACACGCACGTGTACACGCGTGTGTATATGCGTGTGTATATGCGTGTACACGCACCTGTATATGCGTGTACACGCACCTGTATATGCGTGTACACGCACCTGTATATGCGTGTACACGCACCTGTATATGCGTGTACACGCACCTGTATATGCGTGTACACGCACCTGTATATGCGTGTACACGCACCTGTATATGCGTGTACACGCACCTGTATATGCGTGTACACGCACCTGTATATGCGTGTACACGCACCTGTATATGCGTGTACACGCACCTGTATATGCGTGTACACGCACCTGTATATGCGTGTACACGCACCTGTATATGCGTGTACACGCACCTGTATATGCGTGTACACGCACCTGTATATGCGTGTACACGCACCTGTACACACACGCGTACACACATTTACACTTAGTGGCATGGAGAGCGGAACGGAGAGAGGTGGTGCCTGTTGTGGCGTGTGTCTCTGTGTGTGTTGTGGCGTGTGTCTGTGTGTGTGTGTTGTGGCGTGTGTCTCTGTGTGTGTGTGTGTTGTGGCGTGTGTCTCTGTGTGTGTGTGTTGTGGCGTGTGTCTCTGTGTGTGTGTGTTGTGGCGAAGGTCTGTGTGTGTGTGTTGTGGCGTGTGTCTCTGTGTGTGTGTTGTGGCGTGTGTCTCTCTGTGTGTGTGTGTTGTGGCGTGTGTCTCTGTGTGTGTGTTGTGGCGTGTGTCTCTGTGTGTGTGTGTGTTGTGGCGTGTGTCTCTGTGTGTGTGTGTGTGTTGTGGCGTGTGTCTATCTGTGTGTGTGTGTTGTGGCGTGTGTCTCTGTGTGTGTGTTGTGGCGTGTGTCTCTGTGTGTGTGTTGTGGCGTGTGTCTCTGTGTGTGTGTTGTGGCGTGTGTCTCTGTGTGTGTGTTGTGGCGTGTGTCTCTGTGTGTGTGTGTTGTGGCGTGTGTCTCTGTGTGTGTGTGTTGTGGCGTGTGTCTCTGTGTGTGTGTCTCTCTGTGTGTGTGTGTGTGCCTGTTGTGGTGTGTGTCTCTGTGTGTGTGTGTGCCTGTTGTGGTGTGTGTCTCTGTGTGTGTGTCTGTTGTGGCGTGTATCTCTGTGTGTGTGTTGTGGTGTGTGTCTCTCTGTGTGTGTTGTGGCATGTATCTCTGTGTGTGTTGTGGCATGTATCTCTGTGTGTGTTGTGGCGTGTGTCTCTGTGTGTGTGTGTGTGCCTGTTGTGGCGTGTGTCTCTGTGTGTGTGTTGTGGTGTGTGTCTCTGTGTGTGTGTGTTGTGGCGTGTGTCTCTGTGTGTGTGTTGTGGCGTGTGTCTCTCTGTGTGTGTGTTGTGGCGTGTGTCTCTGTGTGTGTGTTGTGGCGTGTGTCTCTGTGTGTGTGTTGTGGCGTGTGTCTCTGTGTGTGTGTTGTGGCGCGTGTCTCTGTGTGTGTGTGTTGTGGCGTGTGTCTCTGTGTGTGTTGTGGCGTGTGTCTCTGTGTGTGTTGTGGCGTGTGTCTCTGTGTGTGTGTTGTGGCGTGTGTCTCTGTGTGTGTGTGTGTGTGCCTGTTGTGGTGTGTGTCTCTGTGTGTGTGTCTGTTGTGGCGTGTGTCTCTGTGTGTGTGTGTGTTGTGGTGTGTGTCTCTCTGTGTGTGTTGTGGCGTGTGTCTCTGTGTGTGTGTTGTGGCGTGTGTCTCTGTGTGTGTGTTGTGGCGTGTGTCTCTGTGTGTGTGTTGTGGCGTGTGTCTCTGTGTGTGTGTGTGTGCCTGTTGTGGTGTGTGTCTCTGTGTGTGTGTTGTGGTGTGGGGAGCGATAGTGTAGCGGTTAGCGCGCTGCGCTATGAACCTGGCGACCCGGGTTCGATTCCCGCTCACGGCCAACACCAGTGACGATTATCTGAACCGGTCCCGGGCCTCCCCTAGGTCGACTCAGCCTCAAATGAGTACCTGGTGCGGTGTGTAAACATTGCCACTAGGGAGACAAAGGCGGTCGGGAAGGTGCTGGCCACCCACCCCCTCGTGTACCGTTCCGGCCTTCATAGGTGCTCGCTAACAGCACTTGCCCCTACAGTCTGTTAAGGCTATATGGGGGATCTTTGTCTTTGTTGTGGTGTGTGTCTCTGTGTGTGTCCGTGGCGTGTGTCTCTGTGTGTGTGTTGTGGCGTGTGTCTCTGTGTGTGTGTGTGTGTTGTGGCGTGTGTCTCTCTGTGTGTGTGTGCCTGTTGTGGTGTGTGTGTGTGTTGTGGTGTGTATCTCTCTCTCTCTGTGTTGTGGCGTGTGTCTGTGTGTGTGTGTTGTGGCGTGTGTCTCTGTGTGTGTGTGTGCCTGTTGTGGTGTGTGTCTCTGTGTGTGTGTTGTGGCGTGTGTCTGTGTGTGTGTGTTGTGGCGTGTGTCTCTGTGTGTGTGTGTGCCTACTGGGGAGAGGTGGCGCAATGGTTATCACGCTGCACAATGGATGTCGGACTTGTTCCGCACTGTTCGTTGCCAACCATGTTGATCGGAGGTGCTATGAGCCCGGCCACCCGAGTTCAAGTCCGACTCGCAGCCAACGTCGGTGACGAAAATCTGAGCGAGTGCTGAGGCCCAGCGGTAGCTGGCGTGGGTGGGTTTTACCTGGTGGTTTGTTGCCAGCGTTAATAGGTGCTTGTTGATAGCACTTGTCCCCCACCAAGCCTGCGTAGGTTAGACAGGGGGGGTTTGTCATCGTTTAGTGTGTGAATACATCGGCAGTAGTAGCGGTATAACCATCGTCAGCAAGAAAATATCTCATTTATCGTCAGTGGCAGCATCAACTGACATCAGCGTCTTCACTTCCACTGACATCACGAAGGGAATCCAAGACGACAGGAGCAGCAGAGGGGAACTGGCGACCTTCCAATTAGCTAAATGTTTATTGGGGGCTTCGATGTGAGAGGGCAGTAATAGGCAGGGTGAGTCCACGAAGCGTTTTAAAGGCGGTGTGTATGATCATGAAATTTATTGGTGGTGTGGACTGGGAGTCAGTGGATGGATTGGAGCATCGGAGGTGATTCGGTCACATTTACGAGTGTTGGTGAGACGTTTGGCAATGGCAATTTTAGACCACCTGGAGTTTTGACACGCAGTGCCTCATCGGCAGAGTCAGGCTCACCGGAATCGATGCTGGTGAACTTCCAGATGTCCAGACATGGGCCATGCTGTCTGCAATGTTACCAAACTTTGCTGATCTCGTCAACCATCACGCGAACTCTGGTCATCCTCGCAGTGGCGGCGTTTGGCTGGCCATCGAGCAAAGACGGTCTCTGCATCATCGTGCGGCGCTTTCAGATGCACTTCGTGACAGTCTGGAACGTTCTTCCTTCCGATATTAGGAAGCCATGGGAGCTATGCACTTTGAAATTATCCAGATTTAAAATTCATTTTTCTAGAACTGATTTTTGTGTTTAGTTTGTTGTCCTTCCCCTGCACCTCCGATGATCACGGTTGGATACGTACGGTGCAAAATAAATTGAACATACATACAAACTGATGAGCAGATACATTTATGTACGCATGTGCTTTGTGTTACGGGCATGGCTCTGCCGCGCTATTAAATGCCCACGTTGTCACTTACAGGAGATATGCAAGAACCCACAGTTCATCGTTGACGATGCAAGCAGATTTGACCTTTGTCAAGGCGAAGTTGGTAAGACTCCACAAGCAATTGTTGCGCGCACACGCACGTTACACACTCAACTACGTATACAACCGCACGACGACAAAATTCCGTAGCCTCATAGTTTGTGTGGCCAAGTGTTGTTTGGGAGCACCTATTAAGGATTAGAATTCCGTACGAGATGGGGAGGAGTGGGAAAGCAGCGTGAACACCCTCGTGTCTCTGCCCACTCGGGTATAGACACAGACAGCCACTGCATGGACACATCACAGCCACTGGGCATAGCTCTTCGTGCCTCGCAGAGAGAACGCATCGCAGCACAGCGGCTGTGTCAGTTCCTGTTTCTTGCTGTAAACATCGACTTGGTGATGACGTACATCCCACACACAGCCTGTTTCTTGCTGTAAACATCGACTTGGTGATGACGTACATCCCACACACAGCCTGTTTCGTGCTGTAAACATCGACTTGGTGATGACGTACATCCCACACACAGCCTGTTTCTTGCTGTAAACATCGACTTGGTGATGACGTACATCCCACACACAGCCTGTTTCTTGCTGTAAACATCGACTTGGTGATGACGTACATCCCACACACAGCCTGTTTCTTGCTGTAAACATCGACTTGGTGATGACGTACATCCCACACACAGCCTGTTTCTTGCTGTAAACATCGACTTGGTGATGACGTACATCTCACACACAGCCTGTTTCTTGCTGTAAACATCGACTTGGTGATGACGTACATCCCACACACAGCCTGTTTCTTGCTGTAAACATCGACTTGGTGATGACGTACATCCCACACACAGCCTGGACAGACTGTTGGGGCAAGTGCCGTGAGTGAGCAGCCCTATAAGTGAACAGCCCTATAAATGAGCAGCCCTATGAGTGAGCACCCCTATGAGTGAGCAGCCCTATAAGTGAGCAGCCCTATAAGCGAGCAGCCCTATAAGGCCGACTATGGGGGGGGGGGGGTATGGCCAGCAACTACCCCATGCCGCCTTTCACGTCTCTCGAGTCGTAATGTTTACAGACGGAACTTGTTTAAGGGCTGAGTCGACCTAGGGGAGGCCCTGGAACAGTTCCGATATCGATGTCGGCTGTGAGCACGAATGGAACTCGCGGGTTGGTGGTGCAGGGGGCCGACCACTCCATGACCCTACCCCCCCAAACGCGGCCACACAGCGCGCACGGCACGCTCTGTCAATACCTCTCCCCGGCCAGGATCTCACAACATTTACGCTCTTGAGACCGAAGCAATCGTTTTCCATGCACCATTATTTGCGCACTGTGTAGTGTATACTGTATACCTTAGCTATGGTTTATGCGTAACACGTGCTGCCCGGTTTCCTATCGATAGCCCTGTGTGTGTATATTTGCTCTGTCTACGCTGATGGATGATTTGAGTAGAAGTCAGTCACTGCAGTCGTGATTCCTGCTACACGTTGCTATGCTACAAGTTACTATGCTACCGTGAATTAACCACCGTGTCAGCGTGCGTCAGCTGTCGTTAAGTGGATGTCATTAGAGAGCACGTGACACGATTGTTCTCAACAATAGGCCATTGTGGGTCAATTACAGAAACGAGTTGTCCTCAATTATCCTCGGATATGAGCAACGAGGCATTATCGCTTGCCTCCTGTTTTGCGACACTGAGTCAGTGGTGGAAATTCCACATTCCTACGTTGAGAGCAAGTCAGTTCCATAGGACAACCACTGTTGGCGTCCCCACTAAGTGGTAACTGTTTTATCGACCCCGGGGATGGATGATGGTCCGAGTTAAAATCCTGGCCGTGGGCAACGTACGTGGCGAGTGGTATCAGAGCTTGGTCCGAGCTTACCCTGAGTCGATGCAGACGCAAGACGAGCGTCTGGTGGCACGGCGTCATGCACTTGCCCCTAAAGTCTGTCGAGGCTACAGGGGAGTGGGGGGGGGGTCTTTGTCTTTTACTAACAATCCGGTTTTGCGAGTCCATATCTCGCCCTGCATCACCTCGAAGGCTTTCGCAAATTGTACGGTGAACTTCTTTCGCGCCGTACGTAGCCAACCGTGCCAATCGGAGGTGCGAGGGGGAAGGACAAGAAACTGAACAAGACAAACAGAAGCCCTTCGAAGGAAACGCGTTTACAATCTGGATGTTAAAAGTGCAGAGCTCCAGTGGCCTGCCAGTGGCGGAGAATGTGCACACGCCACCGACCACGCTGCTGCTGCCCCACACTGCTGCTTCACGCTGCTGCCCCACGCTGCTGCCCCACGCTGCTGCTGCTCCACGCTGCTGCTGCCCCACGCTGCTGCTCCACGCTGCTGCTCCACGCTGCTGCTGCCCCACGCTGCTGCCCCACGCTGCTGCTGCCCCACGCTGCTGCTGCCCCACGCTGCTGCCCCACGCTGCTGCTGCCCCACGCTGCTGCTGCCCCACGCTGCTGCCCCACGCTGCTGCTGCTCCACGCTGCTGCCCCACGCTGCTGCCCCACGCTGCTGCTGCCCCACGCTGCTGCCCCACGCTGCTGCTCCACGCTGCTGCTGCCCCACGCTGCTCCACGAACTCCCCGCCGCACGTGCATATTCAAATTCAACCGCCAGTTGCCTTGCCTTGGCTCTCACGATGTCTACGCCAAACAACCGTGTCATCTTGCCTCCATCCAAATCGCCCATTCCATCAAACCTCTCGTAATATGCGCCAAGCAGGACCTGGAGATGGGATGTAGCCACGTGTTTGTTGAACTTATTTCGCGCTCGTCGGAGGTGCGGGGGAAGGACAACAAACTAAACTGGGGGTGGTGCTTCATCCAGTAGTGCATTGTACCTGGCTGTTGTTAAATGTGTTTTGAAATAGCAAATAATATAATTATATAAGTGCTCGTGACTTGGCATTTACAGTACAAACAAGTTTTGTGACGACGATGCATGTTTCGGGCCTCCGGAATGTGAGCACGCAGTGTGTTGTCACGCGCTGTGACGGCCGTGGCTGCGGTGTGCATAACTCGAGTAGCGTTACGACCTTTGAGGTGGGAGAGGTTCGCCAGTTCGATCCCAGTTGAAACAATGACGCGGGATTCAATCGGTGCATCGTTGACGAAAGCTGCAACCGGTTATGGGTTCCGAAAACGGTTACCGGCTACCGTTTGATGATAATGATTGTAATACTATTTGGGTATTTCGGTAAAGTCACGTAGATAGGTTCAAATAAAATAAACCAAAAAACTACGACGTTTCGATCGCAACGCAAGCGATCGTCATCAGGTGAAAGACCCAAAAAATATGAATTCCTGCAGTCACGCGTTTCATCAAAGATGTTTAAGTGCTGCAGAATCAGAATCTTTATTCATACGGTGGGAATCTGTCCAGTAGATTCTCAGATGTCCAGTAGCCATAAGCGACTTGGCCACAAATGATAGCTCAAGAAAGTTGCTTATCACGTGGAAGTTAATAGCAGCAACATCCTCTAATCATTAACGGCCTCAACATATAATTGCAGCTGTTGCTCGACAGCTGAATCTGCGAATAGTTGAATAAACGGAAGTGTAGAGATACGTTTTGAGATCGTTTTGAAAAATGTCCACACTCAGAGATCCTGACATCTCGTGGGATAGAGTTCCACGAGTGAAACGCCGGGTCGCCCATCGACCGAAGCCGAGACCTGGGAACGCAGAGAAGGCCTGCATCCCCAGATGTCGGCTGGGACAAGCTAGTTCAGAGCATTATAATTTAACAACAGGATTCAAAACTGAATCCTGTGCGAAACTGGACGCCAATGCAGGGGAGGGCAAACATGGGCGCAATGCGATCTGGAGAATGCGTTCCGATGAACAACCACGCAACCGCACTCGGAACACGCCGCAGGCTTGCAGCACCTTGTTGGCCATGCCAGGGAGCGAGCCATTGCGAGAGTCGGCACGAGGTGGCGTGGACCTCCACCTGAAGGGATCGGATACGGGAAAAGTTCCCAAGGTGGAAACAAAACAAAGTCTTTGATCTTTTTAAGCGAGCCTCCAAGGAAAGTGTGGGATCACCGATGATTTTTGACTTGCTGTGCTGAACTGATGAATGCAATCTTATCACATGACTACGTGGGCATTCGCAGTTGTGATGTTGAGTTCTCTGATTTATATTGGGCTGAACCGAACAATGCAAACTAAACTGTAAACTTTTTTATTTTACCATGTAAGACCCACTGAGCTATATAGCTCTTTATAAGAAGCGACCTGGCCACAATAGCTCAACAAAGTGGCTTTTTATGTTGGAATTGAAAGCAGCCAAAGACACTAAACACACGTTTCTAAGTGTGGAGGGAAAAACCGGAGGACCCAGAGAAAAATCCACACGACCATAGGGAGAGAGACAAGCCGAACCCACGACCTCCTGCATACCAGGCGAGGTAGTTAACATCTCGGCACCCATGGCACAAGATGAAAATGCATCCGAGGGATGTTTTCTATAAAGCTGCCGATGGAATTGCACGAGTGTGAACCCTGCATGAGACTTGAGCCCGACGCACACCGCGGCTTTATTCTGCGGTCGTTGGTGACGAAAGCCCTTCAAGTGCTAATTGCACATTGTGAACTTCTGTAAGGAAATGTCACGAGGCATCATCACACTCAAATTCCAAAGTCGTACATGTTGTTGTGAATTCAATAAGGGGCACAGGTGTATAAAGTTCCATCGGGTATGTCAGAAAGAGAAAAAACAAACACGCACTTCTATTAATAGCAAGTACAACTGATGCGTGTGAGTTGTGTACGCATGCTTTTATAATGCTAATTAATTCAGACGCTTTAATTTATTTGTCTAAACCGTTTAGTTGGATACATATACCAAACGTAGTGCCACGGATCATTAGGCTGCCTTCTTCTCCGCTTGCCTGCAGATTCCCGCGCCAATGAATCTTCTAAAAGTATGTGCGTTACAAGTTGCTAACTCTTACCATTTTAAAAAATAGCCCACTGAGATAATAATGTCTCTGGCAAGAAAGTCCAGTGGCACTGAAACACCTGCAGTGGAATTTTCCATTCTTTTGTCACTGAGCATCGTCTCAGTTAAGGCGACAAAATCACTTCCACTTTTAATATTGACGATGCCCACACTTTTATATTCCCAAGAAAGCCCCATTGAGTCTCCAAACTCGTGTGTTGTTCGAGGAGAGTCCTGCCCTTGTCATGTCATCGACCAATGTCTATTCAGTGGGAGGAATCCAGATAATCCAGAAAGAACCCACGTGTACAAGGAGGTAACATTCAAAGCGCCGCACAGATAGATCCGCACCACCCCCACACGCGCTCTGCCGGCGGCCTCCATAGCACCTGCTCCAACATTAGGTTAAGGCTACACGGGTGAGAACCTTTTGTCTTTATCTTTGTCTGCGTGCAGGGGATTGCTGGTTCTTGGCTGCCCTGGCGTCAGTGACCCTACACCCGCGCCTGCTGGAGAGGGTCTTGCCCAGCCAGCAGTCGTTCAGCGCCGTGGACGGCTACGCGGGCATCTTCCGATTTCGCGTAAGAAGTGTCTCGTAAGAAGTGTCTCGTAAGAAGTGTCTCGTAAGAAGTGTCGCGTAAGAAGTGTCTCGTAAGAAGTGTCTCGTAAGAAGTGTCTCGTAAGAAGTGTCTCGTAAGAAGTGTCTCGTAAGAAGTGTCTCGTAAGAAGTGTCTCGTAAGAAGTGTCGCGTAAGAAGTGTCTCGTAAGAAGTGTCTCGTAAGAAGTGTCTCGTAAGAAGTGTCTCGTAAGAAGTGTCTCGTAAGAAGTGTCTCGTAAGAAGTGTCTCGTAAGAAGTGGCTCGATGTGCAGAGGTCGCTACGGCCGAGGCCTTGAAGCAAGCGGCGTCACAACCTTGCCCCTCGGCCACTTCGTCTTGCTGTCTGGCTGCTCGCAGTACAGGTGGATTGTACTGTTGTTGTTGTTGTAGTAGTACAGGTGGATTGTACTGTTGTTGTTGTGGTACAGGTGGATTGTACTGTTGTTGCTGTTGTTGTAGTAGTACAGGTGGATTGTACTGTTATTGTAGTAGTACAGGTGGATTGTACTGTTATTGTAGTAGTACAGGTGGATTGTACTGTTGTTGTTGTTATTGTAGTAGTACAGGTGGATTGTACTGTTGTTGTAGTAGTACAGGTGGATTGTACTGTTGTTATTGTAGTAGTACAGGTGGATTGTACTGTTGTTGTTGTTGTAGTACAGGTGGATTGTACTGTTGTTATTGTAGTAGTAGTACAGGTGGATTGTACTGTTGTTGTTATTGTAGTAGTACAGGTGGATTGTACTGTTGTTGTTATTGTAGTAGTACAGGTGGATTGTACTGTTGTTGTAGTAGTACAGGTGGATTGTACTGTTGTTGTTGTAGTACAGGTGGATTGTACTGTTGTTGTTATTGTAGTAGTAGTACAGGTGGATTGTACTGTTGTTGTTATTGTAGTAGTACAGGTGGATTGTACTGTTGTTGTTATTGTGGTAGTACAGGTGGATTGTACTGTTGTTGTTGTAGTAGCACAGGTGGATTGTACTGTTGTTGTTATTGTAGTAGTGCAGATGGATTGTACTGTTGTTATTGTAGTAGTACAGGTGGATTGTACTGATTTGTTGTTGTTGTAGTAGTACAGGTGGATTGTACTGTTGTTGTTGTTGTAGTACAGATGGATTGTACTGTTGTTGTTGTAGTAGTACAGGTGGATTGTACTGTTATTATTGTAGTAGTACAGGTGGATTGTACTGTTGTTGTTATTGTAGTAGTACAGGTGGATTGTACTGTTTTTGTTATTGTAGTAGTACAGGTGGATTGTACTGTTGTTGTTATTGTAGTAGTACAGGTGGATTGTACTGTTGTTATTGTAGTAGTACAGGTGGATTGTACTGTTGTTATTGTAGTAGTAGTACAGGTGGATTGTACTGTTGTTGTTGTAGTAGTACAGGTGGATTGTACTGTTGTTGTTATTGTAGTAGTAGTATGGGTGGATATGTACTGTTGTTGTTATTGTAGTAGTACAGGTGGATTGTACTGTTGTTGTTGTTGTAGTAGTACAGGTGGATTGTACTGTTGTTGTTGTTGTAGTAGTACAGGTGGATTGTACTGTTGTTATTGTAGTAGTACAGGTGGATTGTACTGTTGTTGTTATTGTAGTTGTACAGGTGGATTGTACTGTTGTTGTTATTGTAGTAGTACAGGTGGATTGTACTGTTGTTGTTGTTGTAGTAGTACAGGTGGATTGTACTGTTGTTGTTGTAGTAGTACAGGTGGATTGTACTGTTGTTGTTGTAGTAGTACAGGTGGATTGTACTGTTGTTGTTGTAGTAGTACAGGTGGATTGTACTGTTGTTGTTATTGTAGCAGTACAGGTGGATTGTACTGTTGTTGTTGTAGTAGTACAGGTGGATTGTACTGTTGTTGTTGTTGTTGTAGTAGTAGTACAGGTGGATTGTACTGTTGTTGTTGTAGTAGTACAGGTGGATTGTACTGTTGTTGTTGTAGTAGTACAGGTGGATTGTACTGTTGTTGTTATTGTAGTAGTAGTACAGGTAAATTGTACTGTTGTTGTTATTGTAGTAGTACAGGTGGATTGTACTCTTGTTGTTATTGTAGTAGTACAGGTGGATTGTACTGTTGTTGTTGTTGTAGTAGTACAGGTGGATTGTACTGTTGTTATTGTAGTAGTACAGGTGGATTGTACTGTTGTTGTGTTACAGGTGGATTGTACTGATTTGTTGTTGTTGTGGTAGTACAGGTGGATTGTACTGTTGTTGTTATTGTAGTAGTACAGGTGGATTGTACTGTTGTTATTGTAGTAGTAAAGGTGGCTTGTACTTGTGTTGTTATTGTAGTAGTACATGTGGATTGTACTGTTGTTGTTATTGTAGTAGTAGTACAGGTGGATTGTACAGTTGTTATTGTAGTAGTGCAGGTGGATTGTACTGTTGTTGTTATTGTAGTAGTACAGGTGGATTGTACTGTTGTTGTGTTACAGGTGGATTGTACTGATTTGTTGTTGTTGTGGTAGTACACGTGGATTGTACTGTTGTTGTTGTAGTAGTATAGGTGGATTGTACTGTTGTTGTTGTAGTAGTACAGGTGGATTGTACTGTTGTTGTTGTAGTAGTACAGGTGGATTGTACTGTTGTTATTGTAGTAGTACAGGTGGATTGTACTGTTGTTATTGTAGTAGTACAGGTGGATTGTACTGTTGTTGTTATTGTAGTAGTAGTACAGGTGGATTGTACTGTTGTTATTGTAGTAGTACAGGTGGATTGTACTGATTTGTTGTTGTTGTTGTAGTACAGGTGGATTGTACTGACTTGTTGTTGTTGTTGTTGTGGTAGTTCTGGCAGTACGGCAAGTGGGTGGAGGTTGTGATTGACGACCGACTGCCGACAGTCAACGGGAAGCTGCTGTTCGTCCACTCGCAATCTTCCAACGAGTTCTGGAGCGCCCTGCTCGAGAAAGCCTACGCCAAGTAGGCACGCACGCACTCGCTCACAAATCGTGCATCAACATTCGCCATCAGCCATGATTAATCCACTGCTGGATGAAGGCGTCCCTAAGCGGCCGCTGTCTCTCTCGTGACCCTAAATTCAACCTCCACACCTGTACACGAGCTGATGTCGCTGTTCCATCTCCTCGCCGCGCGTCCCCTGGAACGTCTTCCTTCGTTGGCATCCCTGGGTTTACATCAAGAAGGGGAATATAACTCTACGTGTTACAATTAACATTGCTCCGCTCATGAACTTACCGTGACTCTTCGTTACTTAGCCAGGCCTGCGAGTGCTCGCTTCACAAAGATGCCCCCGTATAGCGTTGACAGAGTGTCGGGGCAAGCGCTGTTAGCGAGTAGCAGCACCTACGAAGGCCGGCACGGCACACGAAGGGGGTGGGTGGACAGCACCATGCCAGGCCGCCTTTATTCCAACTAGTGACGATGTTTACAGCTACACCAGGTACCTCATTTGAGCCCGAGTCGACCTAGAGGAGGCGCCAGAACCGGCTTCAAATATTCCCCCCGCTGCTATTGGCCGCCAGCGGCAATGGAACTCGGGTCACTGACCGCCCCCCCCCACCCCACCCCCGCAGGCTGTGCGGCTCCTACGAGGCGATGCGCGGGGGGATGCTGACCGAGGCCTTCATGGACTTCACGGGGGGCCTCACGGAGCGGCGGCCCGTCGGCCGCGACGAGGAGGACCGGCCGGACGGCAGTGTCGCCGCCTTCCGCGGCCTGTGGGACTACATGCGCATGGCCCAGGAGGCCGGCTCTCTCATGGGGGCCTCCACCTACCACCCCGTCGAGGGCCCCGGCCGCGGGAAGGGCCCGAGGGCCACGCCGGGGTTGTCGGGACGCGTCCGGGGCCGCTCGTGGTTGGAGAAGGGCGCGCTTGGCGCGAGCGGCCCGGCGGCGCTGGGCCTGTGCTGCGGTGGAGTGGCGAGCGGCCTGAGCTTCCCGAAGCGTCCCGAGGTGGAGACGAAGGACGGCATCGTGCTGGGACACGCGTACTCCGTGACGGGCGTGGAGAAGGTGGGCCGGTGTGTCCGCTGTTGCGTGTCTCTCCATCTTCAGTTTCGTTGGATACATTTGCAGCATTGGGATGTTTGGGCCGATAACCAGATACGGTAGATTAAATGTTTTATTAATTGAATTTGGGCCCCAGACGCCCATGATTACATGACGTTCTCATTTATGGCTGCAAGAAAGAACGCCCAATCCGATCACGTTAAATTGCGTTTGCCAACAAATTTGGTGACGGTGTTTATGGTCCTTGGCGGATTAAAGTAGCGGCTGTGACAACTGAAGATGATAATGATGATGGTGGTAATCATTATGATAACTACAATGATGATGATGATGAAGGGGACTGTCGACGATGGTAAATGAAGGCCACAATGATAATAATGCTCATGACGATGTTTATTAGTTTAATTACAATAATATAATGATGATGTGCTTAGGTCATTTACCGTGGCCAATCCGTGGAACTCGTCCGATTGAGAAACCCTTGGGGCTGCGTCGAGTGGTCAGGAGACTGGAGTGACAGGTGAGCCAATCCACGACACTGGTTCACAAAGACCCCAGCTGTAGCTGTAATAGGCCATGGGGACAAGCGATGTTCACGAGCACTTGTAAAGGCCCGGCTCGGCACACGAGGGGGTGCGTCGCCAACGCCGTGCCCGGCGCCTCTGTCTACCCAGCTCTGATGTTTGCATAGCGCACCAGATACCCATTTATTGCTGGGTTGACCTTGGGGAGGGCCAGGACTGGTTCATTTATTCATCACCGTTGAACTCAGGTCGCCGGTTTGTAGCGGATTGTGTTAACTACTTCTATACCTGTACCACTACAATACCAAAGACAAAGATTCCCCGTATAGCTTTAATGGACTGTTGGGGCAAGAGCTGTTAGCCAGTACCTAATGAAGGCCAGCTCGGCACGTGAGGGGATGGGAGGCCAGAACCACGCTCGGCCACCTTTATCTCTCTAGTGGCGATGTTTACACACCGCACTAGGTACTCAATTGAGGCTGAGTCGACCTAGGGGAGAACCAGGACCGGTACAGGTAATCATAACTGCTGTTGGCTGTGAGCGAGAATCGAACTCTGGTCGACGGGTTCGTAGTGCAGCGTGCTAACCGCTACACCACCGCTTCCCACACTGGACCACCACAATAGCGCGCACACACACACACACGCACACACACACACACACGCACACACGCACACACACACGCATCACCCGCACTGTCCGTGACGCTGCGTGCGCTCCTCTCCCCAGGGCCCCGCAGTGGAACGAGGTGGACCCACGCGTCGTGCAGCGCATGCGCAACGCTCTGGAGGACGGCGAATTCTGGTGATTATTCCAGCCTTACTAATTATCAATATTCTTTATACTTTGCAGGGACTTGATTTTGCTCTTTTTAGGAATGTCTTGCATCACGTGGGAGGAAAACAGAGAGACCCCTCTTGCATACGAGAGGATGACACTCGCACAGACCAGTTCACGAACCTACTTGCTTTACTGCCGTTACTTGGTCGCCTTCTTCGGCGCTTGCTCACAGCACGCTCTATCAAAGTATCATCATCAAGCCATGATGCACTTGGGCAATTCTATAGCAATTCTCAAAGGAAATACATTTCCGAACCGTTTTGTATTGTAGCAGACATTGCCGCACACATCTGGGCACAGACGATTGCTGCTCCCTCAAGTGTGAAACTTGGGATGGTAACGTCAAATCAGATCACAGACACAGGTCACGTGACCGCCCACGGTTGTGTGCTCATCATTCTCACTTTCCCCCGCACTCCGTTTTGACCGTCTGTAACGGCCTCCTGGTTCTCGGCGTCGTCCCCGCCACAGGATGTACATGGGCCACTTCCGCAAGAACTTCCACACGCTGGACATGTGCCACCTGACGGCCGACGACCTGGCCGAGGGCCAGCGCCACCGCTGGGCCGTCGCCACGCACGCCGGCGAATGGAGGAGGGGCCATTCGGCCGGCGGCACCTGCCAGTACCAAGGTGCGGGCGCGTCGCACGGACTGGCGGCACCGGCCGCGACGGTCTGCCCAGGGCTATACGGGGGACCGTCTGGTGCGCAGGAGGTCGTGGGTTTGACCCCGACCCTGACGCCTGCTGTGTGTTTGGAGTTTTCGTGTCTCTGTCTCGCTCTCCTCGTGGGCGCGTGGATTTTTCTCCCCTCCGGCGGTCATTACGGCTCTCACGTTGCCGTGGTTGAATCTTAATAATAAGTATTTATTATTTTGTATTATTTTATTTATTGTTGATGTTGTCACGTTCCTCACGACGAGTAAGAAGCGCCCATTTCGAGCAAGACGATGGACGTGCACTTGCACGTCGAGGTTGTTATTGAGCCAGATAATTGCATCAGGAGGAACAAGGTGGTGTATCGCTTTGACGATCCCTCCTTTGTATTTGAGAATCGGGCGTTGAGTCGTGTTCCATGCTCCTGTTCTTGGTGACTACCACAGTCCTTTTAAATTGTATTCTTCCATTTGTGCTTCATCATCATCATCAAGTGTCTGCATCTGCCGCTGCCTCCGTACGCGCTGGGTTGTGGCCCAGAAGCTTCACCGGAGATCGGCAATCAATTACACGCAGCCGGCATTTGGACGAACGATGAATGAATGAATCGATGAACGAATTAATTTAACGTGCAATTAACGTCGCGGTGCCCGCAGACACGTACCGCACGAACCCGCAGTACCGCGTGCGGATCCTGGCTCGGGAAGGCGGGGAGGTGCTCCTGACACTGCTACAAAAACCACGTGACATGCAGCGCAACCGCCAACCGCTCCTCTCCATCGGCTTCCTCATCCACCAGGTATAGCACCGTGCTGGCGAGATGTTGACTACCTCACCTGGTATACAGGAGCTTGTGGGTTCGACCCTCACGCCTGCTGTATATTTGGAGTTTTCATGCTTTCCCCGTGGCCGCGTGGATTTTTTTCTCCAGGTCCTCCGGTTTATCCCTCCAAATTTAGAATCAGCATCACGCGTTTAGAGTATTTGGCTGCTATAAATTTCCACATGATAAGCCACTTCATTGGGCTATCAATTGTGGCCAGGTCGCTTCTGAATAAGAGCTACACAGCTCAGTGGGCCTCCCCTGTTAAACACAAATTGTTTAGTTTTGGACCTCTCTGGCGCCCACAACGTTGGGCTTTGTGCTGCACTGCCCCCTGGTGGCCACACCACGGCCTCGCAAAATATCCCTCGAGATATTCACACCTCGAGCGCCTGTCGACGGACTTGGCTCTGAAAGCTCTCGAGGGTCAAGTACCACTTTGTAGGAAGTGATAAACCCAACCCCTTGCCAATGTGGAATTTCCACCACTGAGCCAGTGCTACAGGTGAAGATATACGCTGCCGCACGCTCGTTTGAATATAAAGGTACTGAATGTTTATTTTAATTGAATAAGTCTGCTAACGTGCATCTTTATCTACCGTTTGTTTCTGCAGATTCCAAAAAACGTGAGTACACCCTTCTCGCGTACTTGCACAAAAGGGTCACTTTTCGTCCCTTGCACAATCGTGTGGACGACGTGCAACGACGCTGTGCGCTGTGGCCCTCTCGATAGAGCGGCGCGTCGCGGGAACCAGCCCCTCCCACTTCAATACTTCAATTCATTTTGCCCGTGGCTTCGCTTTCCTTTGCTTTGCTTGCGGCGTCAATGCTCCTTAAAAGCGTCCTCGTTATATTTTTAAGCCCAGCTGCCACAGCAGATGCGACCACGGGTGGCCGCAACTCTGAAGGGGCAGCATTGACTGGGTCATGCCCCTCCCTCGCTCCCCCCTTTGGTGTTGGTCTTTGGTACCCCCCCTCCTCTATAAACGAGGTCACGCTACAGAGTGACCTTGATGGGGAAAAAAAACAGGCTTTACCCTTTCTGGCACTAACACAGGAGGTGTTAAGATGTTCAAACACCAAATAGACAACACCTATTTCAGGGCATCAAGTCTGCATTAATCACCCATACTCGTGGTAAAACGTGCAAGCACACTAATGCTTTGATAATAATGTATGCAACTGATTGGCCTCCTTTATGGCCGTATCTGGTTTCAGACCAAAGAACGCCAATAGACGAACAGCACATAGACAATGCAAATATCAAATCATTGTGTGTTACGTTGAACTTCTTCTTTCGCACCGCACATAGCAAACCGTGCTATTCGCAGGTGCGGGGGAAGGATGGCAAACCAAACACAAAAAGCAGTTTGAAAGAAATGAGTGTTCAATCCAGATGCTTAATAAGTGCATAGCTCCAACGGCATCCTTATACCGGAAGGAAGAGCATGCTGCCAGACGGGAGCAGGAGCGTATTTGAAAGTGCACAATGCGGCGACCATCATTATTCGATGGCTAGCCGTGCGGTGATCATCTTTGTTTGACGGTTCACCAAAGCCGCTACAACCTTGCACGTAGGCTTGACAGCGTCGCGCGGGCCTCGCTTGACGTTCGCCTCTTTCTGTCTGCCGGCGCCCCTCGCGTTCCAGTTGCGGGACTCCTCCTGGCTGCCGCAGGAGGCCCTGACGGCAGCGAGCTCCGTGGGGGGCACGGCAACGTGGAGCAACCTGCGCGAGGTCGGGGGTCGCTTCCACCTGCCGTACGGCGACTACGTCGTCGTGCCGTGCACGTTCCAGCCGAATGACGAGGCCGAGTTCATCCTCCGCATCTTTGCTCAGCGCGACGGCCTGCACTCCGAGTACGTCGAGGCAAACAAAGATTGTTCGACTATACATTAAAGCATTTTTTTAAATTTATTTACCAGGTAAGGCTCACTGAGCTGTATAGCTCTTTTTCTGAAGTGACCTGGCCACAAATGATAGCTCAACGAAGCGGCTTATCATGTGGAAATGTATCGCAGCCAAATACTTTAAACGCAAGTTTCTAAATGTGAAGGGAAAAACCGGAGGACCCAGAGAAAAATCCACGTGACCACGGGGAGAACATGCAAACTCCACATGTACAGGCATCAAGATTGGGATCTAACCCACGACCTTCTGTATACCAGGCGATCCACCGTATAGCCTTGAACAGACTGTTGGGGCAAGTGCTGTTAGCGAGCATCTGTGAAGGCCGGTAAATCCTTCATATTAATGTGTCAATATCACTACTTGTTATATTTTATCTTGGTATAAAGTCAAACACTTTGTATTATTGTAATTAATGTAGATTAAAATTTTGTTTTAAAGCTTTCGTGACTGCAGGGATTTCATATTGTTTTATATAAAAATATAAAACAATATTTTTATTATTTTATTGTTTCCCTTCTACGTGTATTTCCCGAAAGAGCCAAGAATATAATGTAGATTCAGTTTAAATTGCAGTTAATCTTATTTAAATCACTTCGCTTTTGCTCAACTGTGCACTGAACATTAAACTCGATTACTTTCTGATTACAAAAGTTAAATATTAATTTCCACTCTCTTGTGTTGTTTATTTGTTTCTTAATTTAGGGAAATGGGAAGAGAAAGCAACGCCACTGTCCAGGTAAGAATCTCACGATTTTTTATATTCTCGCCAGTCCCGTGGCCTCGTGGGTGCTCGGGGTCATTGCCCCTTGAGGCGTGACTGCTGATGAGATATTGTGATTTCCTGTACTTGATCAGGCTGGGTAGCTTTGCTTCCACTTATCTTCTTTCCAGGACTACCTTGTTCGTTGCATGCTGATTGCGTAGAAATTTTAAGAATTCTGCTGAAGGCTTTTCTTTTGAAGGCAGTGATTTTTAGTATCATTACGATTGTTATTATTATTTTTAAGTTGATCTATAAAGGGTGTTTGTTTAAGTATTTTACATGCCTCTTTTCTATTAACGTGGCCATGTGATTAGCATGGTTGGCTATGAACAGTGCGAAGGAAGTTCTACATGCATACACGTGTGTCACTGCAACGTATACAAATTGACTTGAACATTTTTGTACTACAAAAATGATTTACAAGAAATGTTATACCACTGTTTTTCCACCACGTTATACGCAAAGTCCGTATTGATCCAGACATTAGAAAAAAGGCTCGTGGATTTTCACGGATTGCATACAAATGATGTTAGCAGTCATGCCACGGGTTGAATTAATGCCCTCGAGAAATGCTTTCTGCTCCGAAAATGATCACACCGGGTTCGCATCGACTCGTTTCTCGCCAAGTATTTTTCGGTGGAATGTAACCGGTGGCACTGTTGCTCCCTCCGGTCACGCAGCCACGCTCTGTCCCCAAGGCGCCGGAGCCAATGGAGGACGGCACGCGGAGGTGGTGCCGAGACATCTTCCAGAAGTACACGGCCCCTAACGTGAGTCACGCATGGACACGAACAACAACAACAACAACAGTGGCAGCAGCAGCCACCGTTCGCCACGAAGTGGCAGTGGCGTCACCACGGCGCCTGTGCCAGGCCAGGTGCACTCCGAGGCCACGTGACGCGTCAAAGGCTCGCAGGCAAAAGTCACGGGACAGACCCAGGTGCCATGGGTTGACTGACTGAGACGACTGGCAGATGCGCCACCTGTGCCCTCTTCTGCCGACTTGTTGTCTTTTCGCCGCCCGGCGCTCCACTCATTGTGAGCGTCGCTCCTCTGCCCCCCGTTGTTGTTGGAGGGCGACCGCCTCCAACCTCGCAGTAGCAGCGTCCTTCACGAGCCTCCTCCACAAACACGCACACATGCACGTACCACCTGTGTTTACCAAACAGAAACAAATGTACAGTCACAACCTGTATTTTACCAGCTGTAATAATAATACTAATAAAAACACCACTTGTAATGATCAACGTATCTCTCCCCTCTTCTGGCACTGAGATATCCTTCTTCACATGAGACCTCGTGGTTATTTCCAACCTCAGAGGTGGCCACCATATGGTGCTCTTTGTCTATTTGTTGTGGAAAGTAACTTAAAGCCTCAGTCCCTGGTCTCATTAGGTTACAACGGTGAGCCATCTTGCCATGAGGCATGCAGACAGGTGAGGGTCAGCTTACTGAATCTCTCCGCTTTTAATTTTGTGTCCACGCAGAAAGGAATACTGGATCCCTTCGTCCTGCAGAATCTACTGACCAAGCTAGTTTCTACCCGTAAGTAAATATAGGCATCATCATTATTATTATCATCATTCCCATCCGTATAATAATGATCATTACTATAACCATTATTTTCATCATCATCACCATTACAATCATCACTATTATTGTCATCACTATCAGTTTCATAATCACCATCATTATCATCGAATACAACTTATTATAAATACTATTACATTACCTTCAATATCTCAGTGTCCTCATCATCACCGTCATCTCCCCATTGGGTATTCATTTTCTGTCATGTTTACAATTCTTATATACAAAATCATTTAGAGCCCGTTGTCAATCAACCCATTGGAGGTTGATTGACAATACTTTACCACACTTCTCAGTGCGGGTCATTACTCTGGATCGGTTCACATGATGTCAGCCCTGGCCTGGTTTATAGAGCGGTGTGCTAACCACTGCCCCGCTGCTCCACCAGTTTCATGGCTCGAGAGGGCTGGCTGTGTGTTTTTAAAGGAGTTCTTTTCGCCTGGTTATTAATCCGTTAATTTTCTCATCACCGTAGGAGTGGAGCTGGGAACGGCATCCTTCAGCCTGGAGGGCAGTCGTCGCATTGTGGGACTCAAGGGCGTATCCTCTTTACGCGTTAGCCCTGTCTCTGTCTTCTGCAATGTGGGGTCACAGTAGCTCTTGTTAAGATGATCCAAATATGAACTAAACTTTTGTGTTGCTGTTCAGGACTCGCCCTGTTGACAATTGGAAACATTTGTACCGAAAGAACCAAGAAGATGAATCTCTGCAGTCACGAAAGCTTTAAATCGAAAAATAAAAAAAATTAAAAGGGTTATTGCCCAAAATTTGGAGACACAATTTGGAGCTGAAAGGACAATCTAGAAACACATATGGAAATTCATTTTACCCTGACAGCTACCTGTCGGCTTCCATACTGCAAATTAAATACTTCAGAAGACAAACACACATTATAGAGAGTTACACAATCCATGCGTATGTACGATTTTTCTTTGTTGTTTCCCATTTGTGCTGTCCAGTCTGGAACAAAAACTATGAGTGGCCTCAGGAATCATTCGCCGAGAAAAGGTCGTTGTGTGTTTCCGTTCTAGCCCAAATTCCAAATTATAAAAATGAAACCAGCCACAGCGTGCCATTGCGTGCCCTTCCTCAAACGAACATCGGCCGGAATTCAACTCCTTTGCAGCCTCACCAGTTGGCGCCCACTTTACTGGTGTTGGCTGATTGACGATGATTACAGCTGATAATGATGATGATTACTACGATGGTGATTACAAGATAATAACAATGCTGGCGATGTGATGGCAACAATATTAACGGTGGCGGTAGCGATGGTGGCGGCCGTGGGCAGGCTTTAAGAATTCCGGGTTCCGTGCGTGGCACGCTCTGTGACACGCTCGCGGGAAGGGTGAAACAATGAAAATTATGGATAGACAGCCTACTTGTTCCACTGCCACCTACAGGCAGCGCCGCGTTGCTCCGCAGGGCGGTTGTTCCACACACACACACACAGCTGTCGGCGCCACATTATCTGACAACCCTGCAGGTGTGCATCACCACTGCCGGAATCGGTTCATTTTTTATTATTTTCACCTTGACCCGATGACCCTCCCCCGTTCAGCACAATGGCCAGCTTGGTCTCCAGGAGTTCACCGTCTTCTGGACGAAGTTGAAGGACTGGACCGTAAGTCATTCACCGTGCTCCCCATGGCATGCGCGTCGGCCTGATCTGCATCGGTGACCGATACGCATACGGTTCATTATCATGGTGATTGTGACGATCTTGATTTTATAAAGCGCCTTTCATGTCGAAACATCTCAAAGCACTGGATGTAATAGTTTAGATAAAATCCAATAAAATTACAGTTAAATAATAGTAACAACAATGGAAACTCCACTCAGAATATTGATACAGTGAAGAAGAAACTACGCTAGAAGCCAATAATAATAATAATCGCACTCGCAGTACATGTAACGTCCAAATCAAGATAAGTCGTAGAAAGCCAATGATTAACAGTAGGTTTCCAAGCTGGATTTAAAGGTGCTACGCACAGAGTTACAATCCCTGCTATAGGGATGGGTAGCAGCGTTCCTCCACAGCAGCAGACTTCACTGTAGCCCAGCGTTGGCTTCTCTTGGATTGCTTTGGAGAGTAGGCCTGAGGTGCAGGGAGGCTGCATGGCGAAGTGAAAGTGTGAAAGTAGTTCACTCTATTGCCACGTAACTTATTTTTTTTTATATCACGGTGATGTCAGGCGATGTATTGGAGTGAATTACTCCCTCGCCTGGTATACAAGAGGTTATGGGTTAGATCTTGACCCTGACGCTTGTATATTTAGAGGTTGCATGTGTCTCTCCCTGTGGTCATGTGGATTTTTCTCCAGGTTCTTCGGTTTTTCCCTCCACATTTAGATAACACGCATTTAAAGTATTTGGCTGCTTTAATTTCCACATGATAAGCCAATTTGTTGAGCTATCATTTGTGGCCAGGTCGCTTCTGAAAAGAACTATATAGCTCAGTGGGCCTTGCCTGATAAAATAAAAAGTTTCGTTGAGTACAGTTTTTAGTTTAGTTTTGACCTCTATGATGGGTTTTCAGAACGTCCCGCATGTTGTTCAGCACCATGTCCGACGTTTTGCTTGGGAGCTTCTTCAGTCCCTCAAGGAGAGCCGTGAATCTTCGCTCGCAGATGTGGTGTTTTTTTTTTTTTTAATTGTCCGCCGTTTTCTTTGCTCCTGCGCACAGAACATCTTTGTGCAGTCGTCCCAGGAGGTGCGCGGCTCGCTGAGCCCCACGGAACTGAGCTCGGCCCTCCAAGCCGTTGGTGAGCAACCGATGTGGTCGCAGTCTCACTCGCCTAGTTCTATTAGTCACAGGTAGTTGCACGGTTGTTTTAATTGACGTCTTGCCTGGTTATTTAGCTGTCGTGTTGACTGGTTTATATAATAGCATTCTGCCTGGTCGTTCACTTGAGATGTTGCCTGGATTGACCAGTTACCGTTTGCCAGGTTGTTTAGTTACCGTGTTGCCTGGTTGCTAAGCTGCCCTGTTTGGAGTCGATTCATCGCCCGATTTGCCCGGTTGCGCACGGTGCGGAGTGCAGGTCGTGCGCAATCGCCCGAGTCCGTGCGCGCCATCACCGCGCGCTACGCGGACGCCCGTGGCCGCCTTGGCTTCGAGGAGTACGTGTGCTGCCTGTCCACCCTGACTGCTACTTCAGGTGAGCCTCACCCCACTCACTCACCGCTCACTCGCTCACCGCTCACTCGCTCGACACTCACTCACCGCTCACTCGCTCGACACTCACTAACTCGACACTCACTAACTCACCGCTCACTCACTCACCGCTCACTCGCTCACCGCTCACCAACTCACCGCTCACTCACTCACCGCTCACTCGTTCGACACTCACTCGCTGCTCACTAACTCACCGCTCACTCGCTCACCGCTCACTCGCTCAACACTCACTCACCGCTCACTCGCCCACCGCTCACTAACTCACCACTCACTAACTCACCGCTCACTCACCACTTACTCGCTCACCGCCCACTCGACACTTACGCACCGTTCACACACTGCTCACTCACTGTCGTCGTCCCCCACTTTTGTCGGTAGCCCAGATGTGTTCCCTGGCAATCAGAGTCAATTTGTCGGTAGACAAAAGGAACACTTCTGGTCACTCATTTCTCTCTACATAAATGCTGCATCTGCTTTTAGCGTATGGGGAAAAATAAATAAACCCAGACTTGTTGGGGTGCTCTGCAGGGTAGACAAGGTCTTGGGACCAATAAATAAATAAAACATGTGTGGTGGCAAAGCAACGAACACGACTTGCACAAGTGTCAATTAGAATGCCGGATGTTAAATAATGATTAATAAATTACATTTCATGAAACGTCTTTACGCAAGGTACTCAAAGCGATGTACATCGCACAAATAAATAAATTGTACACTAAGGGGATATTTATTTTAGCATCATCGACGGCACACACCGCAATTGCTCACGGCGTGTTTATAACATTTCCCAAATTTCGTAACGTTCAACGCCTCTAAACATTTGCCATGCAACACGCTCGCTACTGTCGTAACACCGCTCCACACAGCCCCTGTACACGCTCTCCACGCGCAACAGAGCGAGTCGGCTCAACGGGTCTCGTGCCAGGCGAACCGAACCTGACGCTCGCGACGCTTTGCCCGCGGCACCTTCACTCTCCCCACCGCAGATGCGTTCGGCGCCTTTTACTCAAGCGGCAAGGCGACGGCGAACGGCGTGCTGCTCTCCGAGACCGAGGTGAGACGGCGCTGTGCCCGCCGCTAATGAACCGCGACGCCTCGCTGGGCCCGTCAAGGGGTAGAGACCACCGCCACACGAGGCCTCGCTGGGCCCGTCAAGGGGTAGAGACCACCGCCACACGAGGCCTCGCTGGGCCCGTCAAGGAGTGGAGACCGCCGCCACACGAGGCCTCGCTGGGCCCGTCAAGGACTAGAGACCACCGCCACACGAGGCCTCGCTAGGCCCGTCAAGGAGTGGAGACCGCCGCCACACGAGGCCTCGCTAGGCCCGTCAAGGGGTAGAGACCGCCGCCACACGAGGCCTCGCTGGGCCCGTCAAGGGGTAGAGACAGCTGTCACGTGACGCCTCGCTGGGCCCGTCAAGGGGTAGAGACCGCCGCCTAGCGATGCCTCGCTAGGCCCATCAAGGGGTAGAGACCGCCGCCACGCGAGGCCTCGCTAGGCCCCGTCAAGGAGTAGAGACAGCCGCCTAGCGACACCGCTCATCGTCCTCGCAGCAGCAGCAGCGGCAGCGGTTTTTGGCTGCTGGTCATCGAACAAGGGGGGGTCACCGCATCGCGCGATTTCAGATGCACTTCTGAGGCCGTCTGGAACGCTCTTCCTTCCACTGGAGCTATGCACTTTTAAATCATCCAGATTGAAAATTAATTTCTTAAAAACTGCTTTTTGTTGCTTAGTTTGTTGTCCTTCACCCGCACCTGTGATTAGCACAGTTGACTATGTATGGTGCAAAATAAATTAAATATATATACGCAAGTGCTATGCACGTGCACAAAGGCAAATATCCCTAAAATAGCCTTTAACAGACTGTTAGGGCAAGTGCTGTTAGCGAGCACCTATGAAGGCCGGCACGGCACACGAGGGGGTGGGTGGATAATACCCACGCCTTTGTCTCCCAAGTGACGATGTTTACACACTGATTCAGGTACTCTTTTGAGTCCGAGTCGACCTCGGGGAAGCCCAGGACCGGTTCAGATAATCGTCACCGGTGCGAGTGGGAATTGAATTCTGGACGCCGGTTTCGTAGCGCAGCGCGCTCACCGCTACACCACCACTCCCCCACGCGCAGGCACGCTCACCCACGCCCCCACGCTCACCCACGCTTACCCAGTCCCTTGAGAGACAGAGAGGGGGTTTGGATGGAGGGGAGCGAGAGGAAGATCGGGGCGTTTGTACCAAGGCTCTGACATTGCTCTCTGCCGGCAGACTACGTGCGTCTGTAAAACGGTAGCGCCTTCTTGATGTTTACAGGGCTTGGCTCCGAAGCCGCGTGCGGCTCTTTAAAGACCGCTTCGTGACGTTGTTTACTAAGGACCACCGTCCTTAGTAAACAGATACCCCACCACCACCACCACCACTGAAGATGAGATAATCCAACGCTCGCTGGAGGTGGAAACCACTTTATTTACTCAAGCACTGAAGGATATGAGAGAACGCACGTGATGTTAATTCCTGAATCGTTATCGGGGGGGGGGGGGGGGGGGGGGATGCGTCAACATTACTGGGGATGCTGCTGCAGTGTGATGGTTGAGCACATTGGTCTTGCAATGCAGGGGTCGCCAGTTCGATCTCCCGGCACGGCGGCTGACACTGCGGTGCAACTCCACCACACCGCTGCCCGCCCAGCAGTAAACCTCGGTCAACCGTTCAGGTTGACTGTGATGGGGTAAAGTGTGGGTATTCCCACCTCTTCGACAACGTCTGGCCAGGGTGGAAGAGTAGGCCAAACTCTCTAGAGGGGCTGTCTAGAGCTCCCTCTAGTGGAGTATCACCTGTTTTTTTACTATAAACTTTTTATTTTTACCAAGTAAGGGCCACTGAGCTATTTAACTCTTTTACAGAAGCGACCTGGCCACAAATGATGGCTCAATGAAGTGGCTTATCGCGTGGAAATGTATAGAAGCCAAATACTCTAAACGCATGTTTCTGATTATGGATGGAAAAACCGGAGGACCCAGAGAAAATCCACACAACCACGGAGAGAACACGCAAACTCCAAATATACAGCAGCAGGCGTCAGGGTCGGAATCGAACCCACGACCTCCTGTACAGCTGGCGAGGCAGTTAACATCTCGCCACCGCGGCGTCCCAGCGGTACAAACAAGCATTTGCGAGGCTGCATCTTTACCTTTTTACCATCCTCATTACATCACCAGTATCACCATTGCATAATACATCGCCAACTTTAGCTGGTGCCCTTCCACGCAGAGATTTCAGGACTTGCAGCCAACTTGGCTTTGACTTTCGGTGCTCGTGGCACAGAGGGAGGGGCTGCAAATGGGCTGGGTGGGGGAATGGCTGTGCCTGTGCCCAACAAAAGCGGCCGTGCAGCCTCGCAGCCACTGCATTCGCCACTAAGCCGGTTCGTAAAAGCTTCATTATTCACATCACACCCCTGGCGGCACAGCGGGGCACTCCTTGCCAAAGATTCGCAGCCAGGGCCACTCTCCACCCCCCACCCCCGGGCGTTTGTGCTGCTGCTGCTGCTGCACAGCACGAGAACATTGCCGTGCCACCTTTGTAAACGTGGACGGCTGAAAAAAAAACCCCATTGGCTGTCATTTTTTTCGAGAGCAAAGCTCCGCGCTCCAGCATCGCAGTGTTGTGTTCGTGCAGCTCGCCGGTGACTTGGCTGAAACGTTCAACTGGTGACGTGGTGTGAGGGAGCATCGTGCTGCCCCGGGGTTATCGTACAGGCGGCCCTGGCACTTGCCTTGACCTGCCAGGGGCTGGCTTGGTGCCAATACAGGCGCCCCCCCCCCCCACCCGCACCGCCGATCCCCAAAGACAAAGATCCCCCGTGTAGCCTTACCAACACTGTTGGGGCAAGTGGTGTAAGCGAGAAGCACTGAAAGCTCCGAAGAAGGCCGGCACGGCACACGAGGGGTTGGGTGGTCAGGCCCACGCCCGGCCGCCTTTGTCTCCCCAGCGGCGATTGTTTACACACCGCACCAGGCACAGTACTCATTTCAGGCTGAGTCGACCTAGGGGAGGTGCAGGACCGGTTCAGATAATCGTCACCGGTGTTGGCCATGAGCAGGAATCGAACTCGGCTGGCCGGGTTTGTAGCGCGGCGTAGCGCTAACCGCGACTGCACCACCGCTCCCGCTTCCACCCCAGTGGCTGGCCTGCCAGGGACGTGCAGCGATGAGATCACTTCGCGTGCACGGAGTGAGTCGGAGGGGGGGAGCAGCGCCCAAGCCCGAGGGATGGTGACGACTTGGGGACGCCGTTCTCAAAGCCCGTCCTGAAACGATGAGATGTTAAGACCCCTAAGCTTGGGATACCCTCCTGAGCAGCTGGTGTGAATTCATGGGAATTGTTGAGCTTGGAAACACGCAGGTAATCTTGACGGAGCTTGAATGAGCGTGTTTTTAGCGGTGGGCAAAAGGGGCCCTGTGAAAGTGGCAGGATTAGTCCCACGGTGGTGATGATGATGATGTCATCACATTCCAGTGCTATTCTGTTCTTGCGAATGCAGCAGTGTTCAGGAGTTAGTAAATGGCAGGTCTGCTTGCCACGACGAGAGAGCTTCAGCAGAGTTTGTGTTTCTGATATTCTTCCTTTGAAGGAGTGCAGGCTACAGCGATGTCACTACGTGACCCATAGTTTGGATCGCATGGCCACAATCGCACTACCCAGTGGCATGTCTCTAATGCATCTCAATGAGTCTCAATCTATCTCCATGGGTTGACTTTATGGTAAACCCACAATCGCACCACTGTCTTTAATTTTCATTCACGAAGGGGATGTGCACTTATCGGCCTGTTGATGTCCTCATGCGGTTGATGGCTCCACCGGTGTCTTCGAGGAGGAGTGTCAAAGACAGGAGGTGCGGTGATGTTCGGGATCTCGAATGACGTCTTTATTCTGAGTGTCCGCTCTGTTCACCGGCGTTCGTCCGGGCCCAGTGCCACTGCCTCGCATGGCACGGTGCTTTGCCGACTTTAGAGTAAGACACATTTTTAACGCAATGCCTCTTTCTGAGAATGTTTTGTTTGCTTATTTCACAGCTTCTAAGGCTGATGCTGTGCTGCTAAGAAGAGGTGCGGACGTGTGGGGAAGACGCGCGGAGAATCCGGGGGTTCTGTGGGCCGGTGGGGGCATGTTGTGGGGTTGTTATTTTTTTTTATTAACGAGATGTTGAGGATAATGTGAACGCAGGCGTGAATCGCTCGCGTTGCAACACGCACACACAGATCGCTACTGCTGCGCTAGCTTGTTCATTTTAAACTTCAGGAATATTTTTTTACATGAATCATAGAATTTATTGCTCACGCCTTGCACCGATTGTGCGTGATCATCACAATGGGGCCACCTGCGTGTTTGCATTTTTTCAGTAAAACTGGATTGTTTCTGATCACGACATGATCTAAACAAAGTTAACTTATTTATTACATTCACATCAACTGGTGGTGTCATTATTTATAATTTTTACTCTTATGTATTTAATGTTTGCAATATATTTATAAATGTTCGAGATTCATGTTGGAGGTTGCATGCAATCGCAAGTTGGATTAAACGTTACTACTTTTAAACACTTTCCTGTATGAATGTAAAATAAACGAAGGAATCGACATGTTCGTGTTGAGATTCTGGTTCTTCCCCCACGCCTCTGATAGACTGAGATGACTGCAGGGACACCATCTGTGTGTTAACACAAAGGAGACAAGGATTTCCCGTGTGGCCTTAACGGGCAAGGCCGGTACGGCACACGAGGGGGTGGGTAACCTGCACCACGCCCGGCCGCCTTTGTCTCCCGTGTCGCGATGTTTACACCAGGTACTCATTTGAGACTGAGTTGACCAAGGTGAGGTCCAGGAACGGTTCAAATAATCGTAACTGATGTTGGCCGCGAGCCGGAATTGAACTCGGGACGTCGGGTTCGTAGCACAGCGCGCTAACCACTGCGCCACCGCTCCCCACTGTTAACGTTAGTGCAAAGATCCCCCGTATAGCCTTAACATACTATTGGGGCAAGAGCCTGTTGAAGGCCGCCTCGGCACGAGTTAACACACGCGCACACATGCACGTGCACACAAACACTGCAACGTCATCAGCAGCAGCCTTGTTCAATCCACTGCTGAATGGAGGCCTCACCGAGTCGCATGCATGCACACGGCCAATAATCCCTGCACGGTAGTGCACGTACATACTGAGCCGGTTCACTGCGTGCCAGCGTCTCGCATTGACCGACCCCCCTCCCCAATAAAAAGAGGAACTGCTCTAGAATGGTGGAAACGAGTTACTTTAGCACGCCGTTAAATCCTCGAGTGCCATCGGGGGTCATTGTAGCCATAGCGCCGCTCTGGGTAATGCTACCAGTCATGTGCCGAATATGAACATCAGTTTTGTTCGGTTTAACTTTCTTTTCAAACTATACAAATCTAATATCATAACAAAACAGACCTGAAATAACCTAGATAAATCAATATATAAGTGCACGTCTGACATTGGGAATAGGTGCTCGTTACATGCATACAGTGAGGGAAAAAAGTATTTGATCCCCTGCTGATTTTGTACGTTGGCACACTGACAAAGAAATGATTAGTATATAATTTTAATGGTAGGTTTATTTGAACAGTGAGAGACAGAATAACAACAACAAAATCCAGAAAAACGCATGTAAAAATTTGTATAAATTGATTTGCATTTTAATGAGGGAAATAAGTATTTGACCCTCTCTCTGAGATTATGAGCACACTCTTTAAGGGAGTGCTCCTAATCTCAGCTTGTTACCTGTATAAAAGACACCTGTCCACAGAAGCAATCAATCAATCAAATTCCAAACTCTCCACCATGGCCAAGACCAAAAAGCTCTCCAAGGATGTCAGGGACAAGATTGTAGACCTACACAAGGCTGGAATGGGCTACAAGACCATTGCCAAGCAGCTTAGTGAGAAGGTGACAACAGTTTGTGCGATTATTCGCAAATAGAAGAAACACAAAAGAACTGTCAATCTCCCTCGGCCTGAAGCTCCATGCAAGATCTCATCTAGTGGAGTTGCATTGATCATGAGAACGGTGAGGAATCAGCCCAGAACTACACGGGAGGATCTTGTCAATGATCTTAAGGCAGCTGGGACCATAGTCACCAAGAAAACAATTGGTAACACACTACGCCGTGAAGGATTGAAATCCTGCAGCGCCCGCAAGGTCCCTCTGCGCAAGAAAGCACATATACATGCCCGTGTGAAGTTTGCCAATGAACATCTGAATCATTCAGAGGACAACTGGGTGAAAGTGTTGTGGTCAGATGAGACCAAAATGGAGCTCTTTGGCATCAACTCAACTCGCCGTGTTTGGAGGAGGAGGAATGCTGCCTATGACTCCAAGAACACCATCCCCACCGTCAAACATGGAGGTGGAAACATTATGCTTTGGGGGTGTTTTTCTGCTAAGGGGACAGGACAACTTCACCGCATCAAAGGGACGATGGACAGGGTCATGTACCGTCAAATCTTGGGTGAGAACCTCCTTCCCTCAGCCAGGGCATTGAAAATGGGTCGTGGATGGGTATTCCAGCATGACAATGACCCAAAACACACGGCCAAGGCAACAAAGGAGTGGCTGAAGAAGAAGCACATTAAGGTCCTGGAGTGGCCTAGCCAGTCTCCACACCTTAATCCGATAGACAATCTGTGGAGGGAGCTGAAGGTTCGATTTGCCAAACGTCAACCTGCAAAGAGGAGTTGGACAAAATCCCTCCTGAGATGTGTGCAAACCTGGTGGCCAACTACAAGAAACGTCTGACCTCTGTGATTGCCAACAAGGGTTTTGCCACCAAGTACTAAGTCATGTTTTGCAAAGGGGTCAAATACTTATTTCCCTCATTAAAATGCAAATCAACTTATAACATTTTATAACATTTTTGGATTTTTTTGTTGTTTTTCTGTCTCTCACTGTTCAAATAAACCTACCATTAAAATTATAGACTGATAATTTCGTCGTCAGTGGGCAAACGTACAAAATCAGCAGGGGATCAAATACTTTTTTCCCTCACTGTATCTATATAACGTATAAATTTGAATATACACAGTGAGCCCTCACCCCCCCAAAAAAACAACTTCAACAGCGCCAGGCCCCCACCCACCGCTCCGTCAAACTTAATCCAGCCCCTGCCTGCACGGAACGGATGGGGCCCGTCACTTGGTTTGGCACGGCTGTGCTAAGCACTTGAAGCCAACCCAACCCTGACATTCTCTTCTTGCGTATGATGGCAGCAATGTGTGCAGGAGCTTCGTGTCGAGCTCTGCTCGCCGCGACGAGAGGGCTTCAGGAGAGAGTTCGTATCGTTTTGCCATTCCTCCGGCTCGGTTGTAGGGGCGCAGACGACAGTGGTTTGTGTGGCATGGCCACAATCGCACTGCTGTCTTGCGCCGCCCGGACATGACAATGTGGGGAGCCGTTCCGACCAATGGTTTTGGACCCGAGGAATTCACCCCCCCCCCTCTCTCTCACCACCTCCCCAACTGAGGCGGGGGGACCTCACCAGAGGCGGGGTTTTGGGTGGGTGGCACACGTGGCCAGAACGCTGTGACTGCTGCATCCACCACCACCACAACCAACCACGCCACAACCACGTGGCCAGAACGCTGTGACTGCTGCCTCCACCACCACCACAACCAACCACGCCACAACCACGTGGCCAGAACGCTGTGACTGCTGCCTCCACCACCACTACCACAACCAACCACGCCACAACCACGTGTCCAGAACGCTGTGACTGCTGCCTCCACCACCACCACCACCAACAACCACGCCACAACCACGAGACCTTTTACTCACAACTTTGTGCCGTGTCAAGGTGGGTGGTTTTTTTTTGAGCCAGGGTTTTGACATAGAGCTGCCACTACAAGTGTGGATAGGCTTTTGTTTTCTTCCTCTTTGCCTTTAAAAGATAAAGTATTCTGTTAACTATTGTATGTCACTGATGACCGGATGCTTTTCTCGCTTACTAAAAAAAAGTTGGCTAGGGTAAGGTTGTTTTCTTTGTTTGCATTATGTTTGTTTTAACATTAGTATCAGCAGTTGCAGTAGCATTATCTGTTCACCGCAGAATGAGTGACTGCATATTGGCCTCATAACAGTTTGTTTATGTTTGTGTGTGTATTGGAATGAACGATGTTGTGGGTCATCCTTTAATTACTCAGGGGAGTGCCCGATGTAACTCATGACCTATTTTGCCAGCGCGACCTGAATACCAATGCTAATTATGAACAGTGACTTGTTCACGTTCAGTGACTTATTTAGTTGCTAATTATTTACAAGTACTTCTCAAAATGTGGTATTTTATTTTAGCCGTGCGCCATTGCCGCACAACGGCCCTACATGCACACACCAGAAACGCGACGGCGCCTTTGGTGGCCAACGCTGAGCCAACTTCACGAGAGGAACACTCCGTGGCGGGGATCATCCCGACGTCGTGTCGTCTCGAGTGGTCAAGTGGCGAGAGCACTGATCACAAGGACGTTCGGCTGTCCAAACGAGACGGAGTCGTGTTGAAGCAATCACGGGCGAAACACGGGCACGGCGTTGAGCGTGAATCTGTTCACGTGCCACTCACAAGTATAAGGACGAGCGGAGTAGTCTGTTAATCATTGGTAGGAGCAGCTATGATACAGACCTGTCAGCTAATAATTATCATCTGGTAAACACATTAATTATACATTCTTGCCACGGCAATATCTCTGCGACCAAACTACCCCAAGGCGATGTTTGGAGTACGCTTCGCAGCAATGGGGACATTTGTAAATGTCATACATGAGTGACTGGTACGGCACTTTTTCCCATGACTTATTGAATCAGAGGATCTCACCATTGGCCCATTTCATATTTTATTCGCATTGTACAGTATTCAATTCCCGAGTAAGATGACTGAGAAAAAAACTAACTCGACAATTGCAGTTTTTTTCCCATTTAATGTTTCCAATTCATTTTAATGGCTTGGCAATTACAGTACGTGACGTCGTCGTTTTGGTAATAGTTTGATTTAATAATGATAAAAATAATGATACCATCGCAGCGTACCTTGTGTAACTGCCAGCGTGTGCGTCATGAGCATAGTGGGTTGTAATGATGGGACATACTCGTGACAGGCTTTATACGTTGAGTGACCTACAGCTGAAGAACGTTGAGGTCGCCTTTACGTTCATACTGGAAGAACATCAGCACACAAACACGGTGCACTGAAACGCGTGAACACACCGACACAAAGTCATGGCGACGTGATATCGCGAAACCCGATCGCATCCTGAAAATCACGGCAAGCCTTTCGTGCCCCTATCATCAACAGCAGCCACTTGCCGCCACTCGCATCACGAGTGTGTACTCATGTTGTTGCTGCTGCTGCTGCTGCCTATGCACACAGAATGATTACGGGCGTCAGTGGGAGGTGAGATCACCTTTTGGCTCCATAATGTAGGTGTTTGTGTTGGGTTAGATCGCGTAAATATAAATGCGTCGTAAAAACCCGACACAGCCAATTGGTAAGGTTTGTCACGTAAACAGAACGTGCCAATTCGTTACTAGTACAGCAAACCGCTTGTGTGTCGGAGAGCAAATCCACAACATTTACTTCCTGGCTGTCAGAGCCGTGAGTTGGAGAGGTATTGTTCAAAGCCAACGAACGAGAGAGATGAGAGAGAGAGAGGACGTCTGCCCGCACACTTTCCCCGATAGACACGACCGCTGTGAGGCTTCACGGCCGTGTTTTTGTGTTTTTAACCCGTCCAGTGACGCGGCAACTGATTGTCAAACGTTGAAGCGCGAGGCATTCGCGCCCAGCTCTCCCTGCTTGCTAAGCACTCACGTTGGGAATTAAAATCTCCGGCGAAGATTACTGCATCGTTTGATGATGTAATCGTGTCACGCTGACGCAAATGCATAATTACGCAGCGCTGCTGCTACTGCTGACAAAACAAGTCATTCGACTCTTGTACGTACAATGTATTCATTAAAATAACAAAAACCCCGTTAATTATGGCAAACAATACAAGCTGATTTCGTACATACATCGCAACGTCACCGGCAAATTTCTATCCACTGCTGGATGAAGTCCAACCCACACTCTCAGTCGTCCTAGGATGGCGGAAGGCGTCGCCTGCACATGATCCGATCTAATCGCTCCATCTCTCTCTTGGACGTCCTCGCGGGGTGGAATTCTCTCCTTGGGCTGCCGTGTCCACCGGTCTGCTCCATCATCATCATCCATTCTAGGCACGTGTCTCGAGCCGGTCCACTTTACGCGGTTTAAACAAAACTTGAGGGAGAAGCTCACTGTGCTCCACTTCGTCTCGAGTCGTCAATGTGAGCGCGCTGTGACCCAAGTTGGCAGCCGGCAACGACAGGGAGACAGGCGACGGTGGCGGGGCAGTTCGAGCAGGACAAGACGGAGCCGGCTAAGATCAGAGGTCCACAGTGGACTTCCACTCGCTGAAGGATTTCGCACAGTACACAGAGGCTGTTCGCTTCCTGCGGGGCGCCGTGTGTGTGTGTGTGACAGTCGCTGTTCTAGTTTCGCTGCGGTGATGGGGGTTATTCCCGTCATGCCCACATTCGACTGCTTTGGTGGCGGCGAACTCGCGTCCGTGGCTGCGGGGTTCTGAAAGTGCAGCAGGCTCTGCGCTTGTGCAAACAAGCCGTGAGGCACGCGGTGCTCTTAGCGACACGTGTTGCGCCGAGATCAATGCTCCGCTGCCCCGTGAATTCACTATGCTCGGACAGACCCGTTCTCTAGTCACACTGCTCAAAGCCAATCAATGTATCCGCCAAATGAGCTAACGTGGGTTTTTTTTTTTGTAATCACAATGACTTCAGTTATATTTGTTCTCTTTGGCTGCACATTCAGAACATGCCACTACAGCGCATGCTATTGTAAAACATCGAGAGAGAGAGAGAAGCGGTCATTATTTATTTTAGGCATTATACCTAATGAACACATACGATTACTGTGGTACATTACATAGCATCGCATTACGGCAACACGCACAGTGCTGGAGAGCAGTGCATTGTTTCGTGCTAATTGGAGCAATGTAACAACAACGGAACTGCTGTGTATCGCATGTACAAACACACTGCAGTGCTGCTAGGTAAGAGCAGTAAATATGACTACTGTCGTCAAGAGAGTAGTGTATGATATGTGCAGCGTGGAGGGGTTATTGAGACCGGCTTTGACGTGGTATGGACTCATTCGGAAACCACGACGAAGTACAATCATGTTTGATCACTTACGTCCTCTCTTGGTAGCAGCTTAGGGAGACATTCATCCAGCAGTGGATTGATCATGGCTGCTGACTATAATGATGATGATCATGTTACTTATAACGGATGTTTTAATTTGTTTACCTATGCGTGTCACTTGATTTTCAATATCAGGATGATGATGACGAAGACCACGCATTGCACAACACCTGCAGCGCCTTTAGACGCGTCCTTTCACGTACTTATCAGTGCCATCAGCAGTGGCCTTAGACCAAATCAACATTATGGCTCAGTAATCTCAAGACTCAAACTAGTGGCACATTCTTGAGATCCTCAACATTGGTATTTTGCCTACTTTTTTTAAATACGTAGAACGTGCTTTTTTATATATATAAAGAAGGGCCGTACTTAAAAGCTTGAAACGTCTGGATGCTGCCGTCTGCCTCAGGGAGTTTATAGATCCATGGCTGACCACTCCGAGTAACTCTGTCATGCAGTAGTCATGTGCCCCTATGTAACTCGTCGTGCTGCATGGCGACAGGCTACTCTGGTCGCAGGACTTGCCGCGTGTTGCGTTCACACTTTGTCTGCCAGGCTACAAGGCACTGGATGGGGTGGCCAGCCTCCCCAGCCAGTGACTCGCCGACTGCTGCGTGAGTCAAGGTCCCCCAGTGAGTCCTGACGTCGCCTGACCTCTGCGTAGCACGGTGACCCCTCTGTGTGCGTGCTCCTAAAATTAAAAAGTGCGTTGGCTACCGCACGCTCTTCCGTTGCCAGTCCACGCACCTGGAATGGCTTTGCTACTGCGTCATTCAAATTCGAAACCTCATTCAAAATTCACTTCTCACACTGCATATATTACTTCTCGAAGCAACGGACTGATGACTCTTCGTTGAATATATATTTTTTGTCGTTTGTTCAGCGCCCTTGTGAATGGATCGCTACGTTACAGCGCTGTGGAACTTGTCGTTATGATTATTGAGAATTGAATGCTGTTGAAGGGCATGATGCACACTGAAAATTACTTTAGATTGTTGTACCAGATCGTAGTCAATGTGCAAACTCTGCAGGGATTATTTTCATCCTCGATATTTTCCACAACACTTTGAGTAGAGCTTGTCGGTAAAAGGCACTACGGTTGGAATGCAAGGTACACCCTACACTTTTACAAAAGGTTTATAAAAAAACAAGAATTATAAATGAGTCTTGAGACTCTGTGAGGTTTTCTAGGGTAGTTGATATGAGTTGAGGTCCTGAACACTCTTGACACATTAAAACACGTGCGATGAAGAATGTCAAACCGCAAAAAATTGGGTTGTTTAAACCACAACTATGTGTGGTCTTAGTCAACAGCTTTTACTAATTAAAAAAGGCACCGATCTAGCTTGCAGTCGCCTAACAAATTACGTGCAGTACAATAACATGCAACTACAGTTAGGATACTTAACATTCCGAGAGCACGTCAAAGGCTAGGAGAGCTGATCTTGAAGTGTTTACTGTAACTATGCTGCAGTGGTATGCATGTGCACACAAAAACAATGTGTGCAGAAGTTTACACGCAGGGAAAAGCGGATTATGCATTGCACGACAACGCTGGTCACGTGG